GCTGTGCAAACCCCAACAGGCCGTTTTTCCCTCCCTCTGCAGTCCAGGCAAAGCCATCTTTCCTCCCCCCGTCCCTCTACTTTTCCTTATTATTGAAGTATCTTGGAATTTTTCTTTTAAACTAGATTATAGAAACTCCACCTACCCTCAAGAGCAAACTACTACCATCCCCATCACACTAGTTCTTCTCTTCAGCAAGGAATTATTTGTTTTGTCTGCATCATTTTGTGAATATACATTTGTCTTATGTTAAAAGTCACAAATTATCACTTGCTAGTATTTTTATTTTCTATCAAAAGAGAATATATGTCATTAATTAATTTTCTGCTTATTTTTCTGAGGAATTAAATGAGCCTATAACCACACAGTTGCCTAGCAATGCAGACACAGGACCAGAGCACACACACCACTCCTTGGAGAAAAAAAAAAAAAACAACAAAAAAAAAAACGTATTAAGAAAGCAGTGGCAATGACGAGCTCACACGCAGTTATGAGTGAAGAGTGACTAGCACCATTTTCAGGTACAAACTTGGTGCCATTTGGCCCAGGAACATTAATTAGTGAAAATACACGAGTATCTAATGTGCAAGCCACCAGCTTAATAAGGAGCAGTGAGGATACCACCAGTAATGAGGGCACTGAGGTTTAGAGCGATATATCGGCTACGTTGGTTTCCTGTACCTGACATTTACCACTTAGGACGTCAGCGATGTAAGCCAGTGACACACATCGAGGTGTAGGCTTGCCAAAAGCAACCAGGGAATGTGTGATCTGCTGAGATCACATCACTGAGACCGGGTGACGTCTAAACAGTAACCTCTATTACAGCAATTCAAATTACATGACGAATGAGGATTTCAGGTTACTCCGATTGTGGCTGTAATTGCATCTGAGATGATACGTGGGTGAGGAAGATTCATCTACCAGTGACTAAAGTTCTGCTGGTAATTCATGATCTGTGTATCAGATTTAAAGTGCTGGCACAGTGGGGCTTTGGGTGAAAGGGGGCTTGTAGGCTAAAGCAACGTTGTGAAGGTGTGAAAAACACAAAGTGTAATTATTGTGGCTGTGATGAGCAGTAAGATAACAGAGTAATGAGCGGCACATTCATTGTCTAAATCACGAACAAAGATTTGCACCAGGTATTTGTGGCACTGAAGGGGAGAGGACACAAAGCAAGAAATGGCTAGAAAGGACATTCAGGGCAAGAAGTGCTGCTGATTAGTGGAGCTTACATGTATGTTTAGCACAGGGGTAACCAGTTAGCTGGATAGACAGCGAATAATAATATTTGTGTAACAGAAAACCATGCACAGAAGCAACAGATCAGAGTGTATAGAGCAGGGAGCAGTAGCACAAATTCTTTGTCACAATTTGTAGGTTTGTTGCATTTTTCCTGCATGTTGTCTGATCACCTGCACGAGGTATGTTATTTGTTTGGAGACCATATGTAAAGTAACCTGTGTCCTCATGACAAATCCTCTGAAGTTGTGCAGTTGGGTCAGGCTGAGAGAGTCTGGTCCTTTGAAGAGAAGGGATAAGAAACAGCCTCTGGAGCAGGCAGTAGGGGAACAAAGGAGAAAGAAGTTGGTCTGGTACTTGGTGGGGTCAAAAAGACAGGAGAGATTTCTGAAATCTGCAGAGGGCATGAGGATGTTGTGTGGGAGAACGTTTCTATAATTAGAGGGTATTGAGAAATCTGGCTAATTTGATGCTCGCACACAGCTGGCTGCATCTGTTTTGGCATGCACATGCATGTTGTGCTCAGGGGCACACGCTTGGAGGCAAGTGTGCTGAGACCTTCCAAGCAATTCAGACACTCAGGACAAAGAGCTCTTAAAACGTGCCTCTGGGGGAGAGGAGCTGAGGCTGCCAGCACAAGGAAGCTGTTAAATTTAATCCTCACTGAAAAGCCTCCCCAGTCACCTGAAAAACCTCACTCAAAGGCTTTCAAGGGAAAGACAGTTTCAAGATGTCTTTAAAGCTCTTAAAACTATAGCAATATTGGTAGGTAAGCTGTGCAGTGGGAACAGACCTGTAGCATGGCAAAGATGGAGCTGATATCCACACTGTGCATTTGAGGGGAGGGGTCTACTTCAGGTGAGTAAACCCCACATAGTGCCTCAGCCTGAGCACTGGCTGGCAGATACTTATGGGGTGCATGAGGGGCACCCCTGGGGAGCACCTTCTTGTCGAGCATCAGTTGAAGCGAAGGCTTATTCCCTTTTGGTTTCTCCATCATATGGGACAGTGAAGTGGGGGTCATCTACAGGTTAAAAAACAGACTCCCAATGCAAACTGAAAAGCTGACATGGGCATATGCTGGAAGTGTGCCTCTGGGCCTGCCCAGATTGCTTACATCCAGCAGGCAGCTCCACGCCCCGTGCCCTGGAGACCACCAGGACACTGGCCCATCTCTTGCCTCAACTTCAGGGTGCCCCAGCAAAGCACTCTCCTCATGCATTGGAAGGGGATGGCAAAATGGTGGTGAGAAGGGGGAAATGAAGAGACACTCAAGGTGCTCTCCCTCCCTTTCCTCTAGAGAGAACTGAGATGGGCAGGAGGGAGGGCAGCCCCTGCACCCTGCTCCTCCACAGGGAAGATGAATCCCCATTTACCACCTGCTTGGTGGATGCTCAGACCATCAAAAGCTGGAGGATACCCTGAGGTGAAGCTCTATTGATGTGTATTACTTTGAACCAATGAATATTTAATCACTGGAGAGAGAGAGACTATGAATCAATAATTCAGGAGTAAGTAAAGGGGAAGGGATGGGTTTGAACCACTGCTGGAGGATTGCGTTTCACTTTTTGAAACACTTAAACTTTGCAGTTTCTTCAAAGACCACCTTAACAATATACACCTACAATCTTTTCAATAAAGTCATAAAGCCACTATACTCATCAGAGGATCAATCATCCCTTGCTCCATCACCCTAGTCAAAGAGCAACATTTAACATAAGGTTCCAAATCATGATTTTCAGCTGCTCTGGGTGGGTGTGAGAGCAGAGACCACAAAAGTGCTGGTTGGAGGGGACTTCTGGAGGTCACCTCTGATCCAGCCTCCCTCTGGAGGCAGGGGAAGAGGGAGGAGAGAGAAAGCAGGGTTGGGAAACACTGGGAGGGGAAAGAGAAAATCAGAATTAATTGAACAATAAGGTCATAAAGAGGGAGACAATGTAGCTACATGCAACAAGAATGATATTTCTGCTCTAATTTCATTTTGAACTGATCCTTGAAGAAAAAGAAGAGATAAAGGATTACTGATACAGAAAAAATAATCCTAGTTTTCCAGTGAAGCAAACCAGGTTGCTTCTTCTAAAATATTAAGCTGAGATCTCAGTTTCTGGCTAGAAGTATCTGGAATTTCTATAATTTCAAAGGGCTTATAAGAAACTCATTTTGCCAAACCCATAAGTGTTTACTTGGAAATACTGGTTCAAACTGTTTACTGCTCAAAATATTTGTTTTGAAATTGCTGAAATATCTTGTTTCCAAAAACCTACATTTCAAACCAAAATCTTCTGTTACAGAAGTTAGGATGCCTTTATCACGGTAAATTTTAGAGATGGTTTTCAAATGTGTAAAATGGTGGTATCAAGATGAAACATTTTACCTCACCACTCTAAATGTTTAAAATAATGGTTGAAGTTATTTCTTTGTACTACTTGCTCTTGGCCTGACAAATTGCACAAAATGTTTTCCCAACCTGCTCCTCTCCCTTTGTGGTAATCTGTGCAAGAAAAGCAACATGCTGTGTTACTTGAAGTGGCAGAACACTGGATTGACGCACATTTTCTTCCATGGACAGCACTTAAAACATTTATCCTGTCCTACAGGGAAAGAACCTTTTTATTATCTTGGTTTTAAAGACAAAATTTAGTATCACCCATATGTACAACAGCATCACCAGCTTTTGCAATTCCTTTGTAAAACTTGCATTGCTGTGAGCACTCATTTGTTCAGTAAGAAGCAGAACAAAGGTTGGAAAAATCTCCTTAGATTTACTCACGGGAAAAAAAAAAAAAGAAAAGATGGCCTGAGGTGCATTTATTTTGGTGAATGCAAAAGTGCTGGCATAAGCAGGTTAATTTTAAGCTAACAAGGCAGGATTAGTCATTAAATAATTAAGTTTGTGAACAAAATCCTGACAAAATTTCCTCTATCTTCAGTAGCATTTGGATAACACCCAGGTGCTTTTGCAGGAGACATACTTCTTTTTACAGTGAAAAGAAAGTCAAATTAAAAGGACATTAAAAAGTTCAATATTTGGCACAGCTGGGATCAAGCTGACACACTTAGACACTAACCCACAGCTTCTCCAATGTTATATTTTATCCACACCGCATGGAAAACCTGGGGGCCCTTAGCAGGCGGCGCTGGGCCTGGCACACTGCAGGATCAGGCCCACCGAGCTCTCCCCTCCACATCTCTCATGGACAACCCTGAAATGTTTGGGTGTACGTGGGATTAACACCCACAGGTGGTTTTTTATTCAGCTCTACTCACAAAAAGCGAACTGTTATTTGAGGAGGAATTGATCTCAGTTAATTTTAGGCACCTTTGGTATAGATGCAGCTATAGACCAAAACCTGCATCCAGCCTAGGGTGGACATGACCATCTCAGCTGGTCACCTCACATCCCTTTATAAGCACCAGAGAGGAAAAGGCACTTTAGGGGTGAAGCTCATGCGACCCGTTTGCAATGCCAGCCAGGCTGATCCACGGCCCAGAGGGCAGCGGCAAGTCGTGCTCACGAGAAACCGGCTCTGGGATCCAGCGTTTAGAAGAATCATGCCCTGTCAGTCTGAATGGATTGGCATTAAGCAAACAAATACACAAAACTTTAAATGTTTTCTGAGGCTTTCCCAGCTCCTCTATCATGCTGAGCTGACCAGTCACAGTGGCTGCTGGTACATCCCAAGGGTCATACCTGCCTCTGTGGCTCGCCTGCAGTCATGTGTTTCTTTTAATGTTTTTTCAGTTAATTTTCTTTGCAGATTCATTCACGGGACTCATAAACATAATGACTGACATAATTTGGCGCTACACTGGAGATTTCATGGCTCCTGATATTGTTTGCAGAGTCGTTCGCTACTTCCAGGTATAGAAACCTCATCCTCCCCTGTATTCCCAAGCTTATGTGGATTTGTGTCCTCACAGCAATAATACCTAACAAAAATGCTGCATAGACATTTTTCTAGCATCAGAAGTGCTAAATGCTGAAAGTGTTCAATTGAAGTTGAAAAACTTTTAATTAATCCATATTAAATCTTTTAAATTTTGTGGACAGGATAAAAGAAAAAGACTTTTTTTTTTAGTAAAAGTTTTCAAATATTCCTAGCTCAGTGTTTTCACTGACATTATTTTCTGCAATAAATGTGTCTCAACTGCTGTCTTGTATACCTTCTGCCCCAGGTGGTCCTTCTGTATGCCTCGACTTACGTCCTTGTGTCACTAAGCATAGACCGGTATCATGCCATAGTTTACCCAATGAAGTTCTTGCAAGGAGGTAGGAGAATTTCTGTACCTTTCTATTGCTATGGATATTATTGGATAGTTTTTTAGTTTCAAAATTCTTAACCTCGTTGCCATGAATTATTCATTCCCACTGTAGCAACCTTTGGACTCTGTTACAGTTTTTCAAATGGCAAAGGAGCTGTGGTTTCGAGATTTATTTAAGCTGCACTTAGCCCTCAGCAGTTTTTATAAGCATTGTGTTAGCAAAGAATGAAATGACATTTTAAAAAGTATAGAGGTTTTCATTATCTTCCAGGATTTTGAGAAGGTTATTATAGGCAAAAGCCATCCCTTGTACAACTACACTGACTCTAGGAGCTGCAACAGCTATATTGTCGATTTATTCCCATGAAAAAATAACTTGGATAGAGAGTGTAGTACTGACGATTCATACAACAGTTTGGTAAGAGAACTTCAAAAGCTATAATATATAAGTTTAGATATCTGTTGTTCCTTATAACTTCTTCTATTTGTTATTTTTACAGCACTCAAATATATCCTGGCTGCTCAGCAGTGCAATTTAAAGAACGTAATTTCTTTCCTACAGAGCCAAAGTGGGATGTTAAGAATGTTGCACTGAGTGAATAAGCAGAAATAGCAGGTGGGGAGAAAAGGGAACAGTTACAAGAACCATGAGGTCTGGAAGACGCACTTTAATCAGATGTAAATATTCTTGTTTTGGGGTAATTATGGCTTTTGCCAGGCTGCTCTATTCAGGGAATCAGATTAATGATTCTTTCTGGCCTTAAAAACCTATGAATCAATCCCAGCCCAAGCAGTGGCACAGCTTTGGCAGATGTTAAGGTCTGAAAACTTCAAATATTTGTGTGAAATTTAGCCTCGTATTCCGCAGCATGCAGACCAACTTTTTCAGAATGGGAAGGTTGATACCAAGTTTTTCTCAGGGGGCTGTGGGAGGCGCAGCGCACTCTGCAGCTCCTGCCAACCCTGCACTGGGCAGGGGAGGGCTCGTAAAACTGCCGGCTGAGTATTTCTTCTTCAGCCATGGTACAGGAAGAGCAGCACTTGTTACATTACTGCCTGGGCTTAGTAAAGAATTTGGTGCTTAATCTTTGCAAAGCACTTCGAAGTTGAAAAAAAAAAAAACACCAAACCACCTCAAATCTTTATGAAAGCCTTTTTTAAACTCAGTCCCGTTCCCTATTCCTATGCCATAGAGTTTTTTCTTTTCTTTTAAGACTGGAGAAGATCAGACGTTGCACCCAGCTGAGGGGCAGCAGAGCCATCCACTGGGTGCAGCTCTGGGGGGGGAAAAAGGGCAGGAGCAGAGGCAACACTGACAGAGCCCCCCTGCCTCTGGGCAAGGGCTGGTTACACACCGATGGGCAAGCAAAGACCATGTTCAAAGGCAAAAAGGAGGCAGCTCTAAATCCAAAAGAAGGATCTAGAGAAGTGTAGTTACTACAGAGGTATCCAGCAACTTCCTGGAATATACATAAATACTCACCTTTTGCACCCAGCTATTCCTAGCACAGGTGTCATGTGGGTGGGGTTGAAATACCCTCTTAGCCATTCTGCAGGTGGAGAACAAACAGATTTACAAAACTGTGTCATTGCTGATGACACATAGAAATTTTAAAAACAGTTCTGAGTCAACTTGTAGCAAATTTCTTTCCAAAATGAAACACTCATCCCCCTAGATCCTTCAATCAAGAAACAAAAGAGTTGTTTCTCCTTATTGATTTTAAACATTATGTTTCCATGTAGCTTTTAAATATTCTGGAAAAAAAAAAATCAAACGTTTTGCTTTGAAAATGTCAAACAATTTCTTTTTTTTTTTTTTTTTAAATTGTGGTTTAGTTACTAGCCTCAAGTCCTGTTAAAAAGCCTTTGCAATGAGCTGTACATTGCATGCCTTCAAAGGAAACAAACTTCAACAGTTAACACTTACTTTGTGAATACATATATTACCACAGAAAGTACAGGTTGTGGAAGAATTATACATTCTAATCCTAGCGCTTCTACTGTATGAGGTACCTAATTCAATAACCAAAGACATTATTAAAAAAAAAAAAAAAAAAAAAAAGATCAAAAAGAAGAGAAACTGAGAAGTTATAGCAGAAGATATTTTATGAATATTTCACCATGTTGAAATGGTATATGCAAACAGGCGACAACAGAATGGCTTAAATTAAAGACAAAATCCAAACAGATGTAAAACTGTCCCTTGCATGGCTTTGGGCTCCAAATGACGCTGAAGTCCATCAGATCAATGAGAATCGGGAACAGCTCACTCTCTCTGGATTTAAAGCCTAATTTTAAAGTGGTGCACACTTTATAGAAGGATTGCCTCGTTCATGGTAGCGGGGAGCACAGCTCCTCACACGACGTTGGGAGCGGGCAGAGGGGCACAAAGCCCCTGCCGCAGCGCAGGGATGATGAGAGCGGAGCGAAGGGGACGGCGGCATGACAACGTCCCCCAAGAGAGTCGGTGCCAGAGCTCACGACTGAGATTCCCACTCCAACCCAGGGTGTCAGTCGTGACCACTCTGGTAGGAAAAAACTATCTAAAGAGCAATATTGTTTTTAAAGGAAAATACTGAGACTGGCTGAAGAGAATAACGTATTTCAAAAGCTGTGATTTATTTGATTCTATTTATAATTGATGTAGTTCTAGTAAGATGATTTGCTGGCATTTAGAGCATATTAGAGTTTTTATAAAAAACAACATAAAAACCCCCTGCTCGTGAGGCATCTGATTAACATTAGTCTGATAAAACAAAAATCTACTTACCTAGGTGCTATCAGTAACCTGTAAAGCCCTCTAGACTAGCAAGGCCATATTCTATAAAACACAAGGGACATTTGAAAACAAGAATAAATGAACATTGCAGGTAATGTTCCATAAAACACAAAGATAAAACACCATTCTTGACCAACCCAAATTGCCTGTTTCTTAAATTAAAGGTGTCACTACACAGTGCAAAAAATAAAGTATATTAGCCAAGTATGATCTTTTCCCCTTAAAAATAGACGGATGGGCCCCACTGAGACTTGTATGTATGCAGTTTAAGTAGTTATCTCACAACTGAAAAGCCCTTTCTGCCAGAAAATATTTTGTGAAATGTACTCTTAATATTCCTTTTGCTAAGTCTATTCTGTTATGTTTTGGGAAACTTTTCAGTTCTCCTTTGCCTATGCAATATTTATAGACTTAATCTAACCCTCTCACTTACGCAGATGTCATCAGAGTTCCCTTAAGCCCTAGATTAGCAAGGCCATATTTTTCTGAATGTGGGTAGCATTTAAAAATGAACAGGGTAAGTGAATATTTGTAACTGATGTTTTATAAAGCATAAAGTTACTTTTTGAATGTTTCTCCCACACACTTTGGTATTGCTTTTTGAGCTTCAAGGAAGGAAGACGTTTTTCTTGATATGAATAATTTAAAACGATTTTCTATTTTGCACACAACCTTGGGTATTTTGCAAGACAATAAAGTATTTCAACACCAAAGCTTCACAGATTAAAAAATCTGTCCCCATCTGTTCCTCTCACAATCTGACTCAGGAGGAATAACCGCTGCTGAGAATCACTGGTACTCCACAGATCAGCCCTTTTTCCCCCCACTTTTTAGCTAGAGCTACCTGGATTTTAGCCAAAAGATTGAGATTCGTGAAAACAAAAGCATTGGGGCTGTTTGCTCCAACGCATTGATTTTACAAAATCCCATGGATGACACCAGACATCATTTGGTTTCCCACCAGTTTTCCCCCGCTTGGCAGCAGAGGAGGCCAGAAGTCAAGGGGAATCAGTAGCTCAAACCTGCCAAGTGTTTTGGGGTCCTTCAGCTCCTGTTCTTCACTATGAGGTCCAGCAGGATCTCCTAGTCGATGTGGCAGATAAAACGGGGCTGAGTACTTGTGCTCCATCATCTGCCCTGTCTCACGTTTAGCAGTCCACCCTTGGCATGGCTTGGGCATACGCCCACCAACAGGAGCTGGGTCTGGTCTCCACCATGATGCAAAGAGCTGCAGGAGACATCTGGGATCTCCAGGACTACATTTCTTTGGGGCAGTAAAGTTGCACCTGGAGATAAAGGCAGCTGGTTGTGCAGTTTTGTTCTAATACTGAACTGAGCTATTCTCTCTTTCCTGATAGGAAATGTTTTGTGAGCTTTCTCACTTCAAGGTGCATCAACTTGTTTAATTTCCATTCCAAGGAGGACATTTCCCCTGTCGGTACTTCTGGTTCGCTCCAACCTAGCTTATGTTTCAAGTAACCCTTCCCAGTCTCAGCCTTCCTCTGTTATCTTTAGCACAAGGGCTCCTTCTCCTTTTCTGTCTCTGTGTCCTCCCACTGACCGTCGCTTTTGCCATGCCAGATGTTTGAATAAACATCTTTAAATTAACATCTTTAAATAAAACATGTAAAATACAAGCCCATAATGACATGACTTTTTATCATGAGAAAGAGATGAAATCCCCATTCTCCTCTACAGTCTTTTCAGCATCAACCAGCTCCAGCCCAAAATTCCCTTTCTTCACCCAGTTTCCTCCTCCTCCCTGCCTTTCTATCAGCACTGCTACAAGGGACCAGTTGCTCCAGCACCCCCATTAACACCATCTGTTTGACTCTGTTGCACAGAAAGACAGGCGAAGGTTCTCATTGGAGTGGCCTGGAGCCTCTCTTTCCTGTTTTCCATACCGACTCTGATTATTTTTGGGAAACGGCAGCTCTCCAACGGGGAAGTGCAGTGCTGGGCTCTCTGGCCTGATGACTCCTACTGGATACCCTACATGACAGTGGTGGCTTTCCTGGTGTACTTCATTCCTCTGATCATTATCAGGTAAGTCTGAGCCTCAGTCAGCAAGCGTGCGGTGAAAGCTGTCAAGTGTGCAATCAGCTTAATGCTTTAATTTCTACTCCTTCATTATGATTTCATTTCCACACCTGCCTTATAGCTGCTTCAGTTTTATCACATAATGCAGAGGTCGCTCTACTTGCCCTGGGTGTTCTCCATGCGATATTAATAGCCAGAAACATTCTCATTGAAAAAAAAGGACTGAATCTCTAACTGTGTCCACTTATATCCACAGCTTCAGGCTTGAAACATATCTTTATAAATCCAGTATTAATATCTAGCTATTATTACAAAACATAGTTTAAATAAAAGAACAGGAAACCACACTTAACACTAATTAAACTAAAATTAACTTGAAGTGCTCTCAAGCATTATAGTACTAGAAGAGTGTTTCTTCTCCAGGATCGGAAGGAAATCTCCAAGTGTTTGAAGCTGCCAACCACTCCTAAAATACGAGCAAATAAAATTCTTCTTGTTTTGTAATGGTAAAGCTGAGCTGCAAATAGTTGAGACTGATTTGCCCAAAATCACAAAGATGATCTACAGAAGAATCTATTTTAAACTGAGGTTAACCAATATCCCAGACTGTGCTTAGTGATCAGGGAATTTTATTGCCTCCCTATGGGGCGCTGACAGTAGCTGCTGTTAAACAAAAATTATTTAGCCATGAGGAACTACCAATGCAAAGCAGCAGTCAAAAACTGATATGAAAGAGTGAGGCTTGTTAACTCCCTTGAAAGGCTGCCAGTGCCAATAACTTGTCCTCTGAGCCCTTCCCTTTCTTTCCCTTTTATTCTCTTCCAGTAGCAAGGTTACAAAAGGATTTCTTGGTGTCCATCTCTTCTTCTCTGTGGCAAAGATGACTTACTGGGACTCCTTTTTCCCCCCATAATGTGGTGACACGCTGTTTGTGCTGTGAGAGAGGAGCTATGTTTGCATGTCCCTTGGACATCTCTCTTGGTCCGTCTGCTTTTCCAGCAGGTGATGAGCCATGAGTGTCTGTTAGCTTCCTGCTCGCCCCAGTTAGGGGTGGGGAGCCTGGTGTTTCTAGATGATGACAGGACTGGCTACATGAGCTAAAGGGTAAAGACGGCGTCATGGTTTTAGTTCCTTTCCAGTTGAGTTGTGCCTTGAAGTTTCTTACTGTTTAATCACAGAGATTAAATTCTGCAACTTCTCGTGGCAACAAGTTTGTCTCTGATAGACTCAAAACCACGTGGTGCTTGAACTCATCTTGCTCTCTTTTAATACGGATTCAACAGTGACCAGTATTGCTCCCTAGAGAGAAGGGAAAATTTTTATATTTTGCTCATAAGATATCAGTTTGCTTAAACCTTCCATTTTTGTGCCAGATTGCACAGATAAACAAAATCACAAAAAGTTCTCTTTAAAGAAAGGACACGATAGCAATAGAGAAAAACTACTCCCAGTTTGTCCAATCGCTCTTCCTTCCTAGACAGAATCATTTCTCTTTGTATGTTTACCTATATCTTAAAGCCAGCCTAGTTTTAATTAAACAAAAAAATATATTGGGAATATGTAAAAAAAAAATATGGGTGGATCTTCAGCCCAGCACTAACATCAAATAGAATAAACACACACAGAAGAGAAAAAGTAATTTAACTGTGAAAAGAAATGGCACTAGAAAACTTTGAGGCTGGCTGTTACTATGAGAGGAGCTTTGTTATTAATTTTTTCAAGTAGCTAGCAATCAGAAAATTCTAGCCAGCATTTCAAGCATTTTAGGAAAAAGGCCGATAGCCTGTCCAGTTATCAGTCATTCCACAGGTGTGTAAAACATCTCTTTCACACTCAAACTTACAGATTTGCATGCTTTCTCTTACTGACCAGCCACTCCTTTTTACATGGCATACATACTTGTTTGCCAAGAAAAGGCAAGCTACACAGCAACAAGTTTTTCAGAGCTGCTGACATTATGCTCCCCTCCTCCCCGCCAAAGGAAGATATTCAAACCAGATCAGCTCTGTGACTTGCTTTACAGTAAATCCCCAGAAGCAAGAAAGCGATGAAGACATGAGGGGAAAGGGAAAGGCAGCGAAATTGGCATTTCATGAGATTGTCCTGACAGCTGAGACATGAATAAAACATCCTAACATTTTTGTGGCTTTAACCTTAAGTGACTTTCACATGAGAAGGTTATGGCAGGATGGGAACTTGAAACACTGGCCTCGGAGACACGGGGCAGAGAGGTGCTCGTTGCCTGCCCACACATGTTCCTAGTTTCAGTGTACACCAACACAAATGCTCCCACGTCCTTGTCAGCAGAAGTCAGATTTCTGACAGGTCCTAACTGGTGTCCAGAACTGGTAGGAAGAAATTGAGGTGGCACAGGGAAGGATTATTTTGTGCCCATTTATTTCTAGTTGTCAGCGATACTATTTTCTTCAGAATAGAGATGGTTGTCTAAAATCACATAAAAAGAAGATTACCATAAGGGCAAGGTCAGGAGAGACATTATGAACAAATGTCATGCAGTTTGGAAAGAACTGGCTATTTTTTTAGAACATTTTTTTTCAAGTTTCAAGCATACAACTAAAGGTTGCAACTTCCCAGCTGATGCATCTGTAAAGCATCTGTCAACATAGTCTCAAGGCATGACATCTATTTCTTGAAGATTCTTCAGCAGTCCAGGAATGTAAAGTTAATCCACCTGACGTGGCTGCAGCATGTAAATACTCTGGTAAGGAGTTTGCAGCTAAAGAATTGTAGAAATAGCTGTTAACATCTGCAGGGACTCGATTTCTCTGCAAAAGTTTTGTCCCGCGGAATATTTTCAGATGCACAATAGTTTGATGACAAATGAGGTGATGTTTCATAAGGGCAAGAGAGATCAGGTACATTGTAGTTTTGTGTTACTCTGTCAAAAGATTAATTATAAAAATGAAAGGGGTTATTTAGTAAATGAAGACATTTTCTGATTTTTTTAATTTAATGGACTTTAGCTGAAGATGTTACTAAAAAAAGGCCACAACATAACAAAGGACAGACAGTCCATAAATGTGCAACTGAGAAGTCAAGGATCAGTATCTAAGAAGCCATGAATAAGAAGCCAAGGCACATGCCACACTTCCTGAGGAAGTGAGGCAGGGCACACACAGGGGGAGAATAAGACCTTTCATTCAATAATTCATTTTGTTTGCACAGCTACTTTATTTTCGCTACCGAAGCACTCTGATTTAGCTGCATGGCAGGTGCCTGACGCAATGTGGGACACTGGCTGGCGGAGTTAATTCTTAATTAGTTCTGCCGCCTGAATCTGCTGGAAACCTAACCTCTAGAGCCAAGCAGTTCACTGATGACAGCACTTTTTCTGGCACATTTCATCCAAAGTGCATACGAGGGATAAAATTTTACTTTTCAGGTGCAGGACTTAATTCCACACTAGGTACGCTGCTTTGGCTGAGCAGTTTTCACTTGCTACAGTCCAGGTGCCATCATCTTTTAAGCTTCTCTCATCCATCCCTCAGCTCTCTCGGCAGAGCTGATTTCACACGTTCCTGACACAGCCTTCAACTAACTCACAGGAGGTGCGTTATTCATAACACTGCAGCTCATGGAATGAATTATTTAGCTGATAACCTTATGCTCAGTCTGGAAAACCCTTCCACCAATGAGCTAATCCCCCAGACATGGTGTAAGAAAACCCTATAGATTCCAAGCCGAAACATGAACCAGAAGAAAACAACAGTCTTTTTTTTTTTTTTTTAAAAAAAAACAAAAAAAAACAACAAAAAACCCCCATATCTATAAAAAGGCAATCTATGAAACAAAACTGCAACAGCCCTGAAAGATTTAAATACCTGAGAGGTCTGTTCCCACCACTTCTTCACAACTGGAGAATCAGTAATCAGTTATCAAACAGCTTGTGGTTTTGCGGCGAGCTTTTTACCTGATTATAATACAAATGAACAAGACCTGAATAATGAAAATTGAAGGAGAAGCTGTGATTAGGTTTTTAACCCAAGTGTGTGGTTATCTTCGAGATCTGAGAATAGGGGAGAATATTTGTTCTTTTCATGTAAAAGCTCCCCTCCTTCCCACTGTATTAGCGTTGGGCAAGGAGAGCCACAAATCCTGCATCAGCTTCTTCCTTACAGCACTTAAAAATCTGTCCTGTTCTCTTTTATTTAGACTAAACTACCACTTTTTCTTCAGCTGATATTGCCAACCTATCAAAACCCAGAAAATTCAGAAAAACGAATGAGGCAACCTGCAGTAATTAGTTCTCTCCTATTCTGGGACAAGTGTCATCAGCTATAACCAAAGCCATTTCTCCCACGCCAAGATATGCAAAGCAAAGCTCAAATGGTATCTATGATAGCTGAATACCTCTGGGACATTGCTCAACAGAGGTTAAATATTGGTCAAATCAAGATTGCGGACTTCTCTTCTGCAAATATTTGCAGCTGGACCCCTCGGGTCCTGTGACAGGGAGGCAGACAAGCTACTGTGTTCCTGCTCTGTATTGCTACCCTCTGCCAAACCATAATTATATTCTGGCATTTGAATATCCAGAAATTAAGAGTCTTTTTAGCTGTTATTCATGATTGCCAAATATATTTTTTTTTTATATTTTAACCTGATAAATATAGGTATTTGTCTAATATAATTCCAAATTCAGGTTAAAAAAAAATTGCAAAATTTCCTCTTGAAGCACATAGGAAAAAATATCCATCTGCTGTTTAAAATCAAAACTCCAAAGAGAACATTTGCTTTGGAGCAGCAGAAAAATAATTAGAAGAGAAAAAACAGGATCAGCTAAAAGGAAAAATATGGAACTAAACCCAAGATATTGCGATGAAATAAAAAATAGTCTGAATTACATCAAATAAAGAGAATAAAAATACAATTAATAAAAATAACAAAGGTCAGTTTTCAAGCTTGATTTGGCAAACACAATCATTTTTGCCTGCAATTTCCATTTCTAAATAAAAAAATCCTAGATCTTGCACATATGTTTTAATATCTGCCCATCTATTCACTGACCCATTACACATGCCTACAATGGCTTGTTCAGATGGAGTTACATATGCCTTTTGTCTTTGGGTAAATAGTGCTGTAAATTGGCTAACATAAAACATAATGCAGCTGCATCAATTTGCACAAATAAAGTACGAGGAATAATAGGCAGTGCTGGATGATAAATACAAGCAATTATCAGGGAGCTTATGTGTAAAGGCTCATTTTACTAGTAAATACTGAGGGTGGGTGGGACGCTATCATAATGCAATCATTTATTAAAAAAAAAAAAAAAATGAAATCTCTGTTTAAAGAGCAGGCAGATCAGTAACTCTTATGATTCTTAATATCAATACATGGCTTTACCAGAAGTCTTCCTATTTTTCCAAACCAGAAGTGACTATGAATTAAAAATAAAGACAAAGTAGGACTATTCACAGTAACATTTGTATGACTAACAGTAAGTCAGTTATTTACATGGACAAAGAATGCAGCAATTATCACTGGGGCCGTATTAATCAACACCATTAACTAATAACATATTACAACGAACATACATCTTAGTCCTTCAGAATTTGGATCAAGCTAAATTGTTTTTGAGATACAATGAATTTCATTTACTGAGATACATCCATAGTCTGAACTGTATTCTTGTATTATCCTGCCACCTCTCCAGATATGCATTTTATTTGGGCTAGAAAGAGCACTGCATTTTCAGATTAACAGCATGTCCTTTCTATGCCATGGTCTTAAAGCCTGAGTATCTCCTTCTCAAAAAGTCTGGAATTATTTTTCTATCCAGGTTTGACCACTCCATTTGAAATCTTTCTTCCCTTTCAGTCTCTCGGATACAATAATGGACTAAAACCACTCATATAGTATTTTAATATCATAGTATGCATTAAAATAACTACAACACATGTTTATATAGCCCCCAAGAATCCCCAGTGAGGGCTGGGAGACCAGTGCACTACGCACTTACAGGCACAAAGAAACCTGACAACACCTGGACCCAAGGAGCTGTACATCACATCTGCTGGTGCTTTCAGTGGAGACAAGGGCAAGCAGCATGCAGGCATGTCATATGTGTTGAAAAAGAGGTTGCCAGCAATATGTAGTGTGCTTTTACATCTTGGCAGTGAAGGCTGAACAGTTTGATGTGGAGAGGAAGGAAAGAGAGACTACATTATGGTCAGAACGGTGCAGACTGTTGCTGAACACCCTCCTGTCCACCTGAATACTGGTTGTCATTTGTCCCCCACTTGTTCACCTGCTACTTCATTGTCCAACAAATGGGAATTTCTTCCCACCCTTTGAGACGTCACCAACCACCACATCCTCCTCCAGCTGCCTTCTATGGAAAGGAGGAAGCTACAAATAGATTCTGAAACAAAACTGCCTTTCTCTTGCAAGAAAAATACAATTTCTGTCCCGTAAGTGCTGTCTTTTTATTGTTGTGGCTTTGAAACATACATAAAGATGCCTTTTTTGATCTTAAGCTTTGGGTGACACATTTCTGGAAACACCAGTTTCTTAGCTCCCTGGCAGCATAGCTGGGGAAAAAAAAAAAAAAAAAAAATGATTAGGCACTAATAAGATCTGGAGTCCCAGTGAGATGAAAGCATAAAGGCACAATTTTGACTGGCAAAACGATGGCTGGGAAGTGTACCTAGCATGACTTGTCTTTCTTGACACTCACCCTGAACATCTTTACACCACCTCTGGTCCCCTCCCGATAAGGAAGGCTCCAGTGGATCCAGCTATAGAGAAAAGAAAGATGAACAAAGGCAAAAACACCAGTACAAATCCATTATGTTGGCAGCACTTTAGAAGGCACTGGATTAAACCAGGAATTAAACTTTCTCCTGGACTTCTAAAAATTAGAGATTCAAATGAAAGAGCACATAATCTCCACTGTGAAATGTCAAGTGTATTCCAGGGCCTGATGTCACATCCCATGGCTGGTGCATGAAGACGGCAGCGGCTATAACTGTGCCTGGTGAAAGGGACACTCCTGCCAGACTGCAGCCAAGAGGGCAGGATTTCTGGGGTTGGAGGGAAAGCAACTGAAGAGCCTGACTTTGTAATTGAATACTTGTGACACCTGGCTAGAAGTAGGGAGCCTGAATATTTTGATTACGGAGCTAGGTCCCTTCATCCTGATGCTTAGGCAACTCAGAACGTATCCTGCTGGACACATGCAGGCCTGCACCAGAGGTGATATTGTTTCAACTGCAAATAAAAAAGTCAGGCTAGAGATAGCAGGCTAGGGAGAAACAGGACTTTTAGGAGCTGACTGGAAATTTTCTTGAGATGACAACCATTATCATCATAATACATTCTAATTCACTGAAACAGTCAAAGGAGAAATGATACGTGAACTTTCCACCATTGTCAGTACAAAGTACAAAGGAACTCTCAAGTGCACCAGCTGATAAATAAACAGGTTCTTGAAAAGCCAGGAGATAAAAGGAAAATGTTCAAGTCAGCTGGGAGCCATGCTGGACCTTTGAAGGGATTAAGGAGGGCGAGCTGGAGTCCGCGGCAGATGCATGCAAAACCCTCACTGGGCAAGTACACTACTGATCTGCCACACAGCCCAGACTGCACACTGAATTTCCATCTCTCACCTATTGAGCCTGGAAACCAGATGGATCAAACTTCCACAGAAAGAAAACCTCCAAGGCACACAAATACTGCCTTTGCAAACATGTCTAGGAATTGAGTGCTGTAGGAAAGGCTCATATATCTGTCTGAAAGCTCTAATAAGTCTATAAGTCTAAAAGTATAATGTCTCTTCTGACAATAAAAATAAACCACATGATAGTAAGACACATTTTCGTCTCTATAAAACACCCTGAAATAATCTTCCAAGTTGTACCTTTTTCACAGAGTCACCACTAAGTTTTATGGCAATTAATGGTCAGGCTGCCCCAGGCCCCACAAAACACTAAGGTGCATTGCAAACAGCACAAGACAACTTCTGTTATAATGCTTGGTTTTTACACCAGGAAAACATGGCAAACAGTACATTAGCTGAAATATTCTTAAATTATTTTTGACTTCCTTAGCAGACTAAAAAGGAAAACACCAGTCAAAAGTATGTTGTTGCTTAGTGATTTTAGCTGCACATTATGTGTGCTTGCAAGAGAAAAGGCAGACAGAGCAAAGCCTCTTATTTTTTTTATGTAAACTGCTAAAAAGGTAACAGCCTTGTCTGGGATGTGGGTTCAAACAACTCTTCAGCATGAAGGAATTGTTTTTACCTATTCTATATTAAATAAATAGAATTGCAGATTTGTTATCGTCTAGGGAAAGGTCATAACTATTCAAGGTCATTGTGGACTAGGGCATTTCTTTTCCATTAAAAGTATATATATTCCCCTCTAAATATGGAAACTGTGGTGGATCTGGTTTTGAATCATCTAACTCTTCCCACCTACCAGATACTTTTGTCCTCTTCAATTTCCATCCTGGGACCTTGAGACCCGGACGTTAGCATCACAGTATTTAACTGCATTTCTCATGGATCTTGCCCCTATCAAATTCCCCAGGGTGCAATTTTGTTCATCATCTTCATACAAAGTAACACCAAAACAGAAGTGTATGCACAGCAAAACTCCCATTTCAGGGCTAGCGCCCTGGGACTGGTACCCAGGCAGATTTGGCTTCAGAGGCTCAAAATCCCTAATGAGCTTTTGCCTGCGAGATCTTGGTCAAATCACTCCCCTGAGGCTTAGATTTGACATCTGCAAAGCCAGGACAATGATAGTGACTTCCATGATGAAAACTCTTCAGGTCTGCTTCTGAAAAGTACTACGGGACAGTAATACGTTATTTATTATTATCGTTGTTGTCATTATTATTATTCCCGTGCAGTCCCATCATCTCTATGAGTTCCTTAAACATAGATAAGTGTGTTCATAGAGCACAAATGACTGGGATGTCAGTTAAATTTACTGTGCTTCATAATACCAATGACTCTTTTCCTTCCATAGTGTCATATACTCAATCGTGATTCGAACCATTTGGATGAAGAGCAAAGCTCAGGCTGTCATCATATCCAGCTGCCCTGGTGAGTCTCAGCACACACGTGTCTCCGGCCTCGTGATTCACATCTGGTCAGTCCCGCACAAATCCAGGAATGCCTGGACATGTGGTGTCACACTGGGCCCCCATCAATGCAGAGAAAATGGCATTTCTGTAATTGCTCGCTCAAAAACTTTTCTACACTATTTACCTTCTTTCCTTTGACACTAAATCGCCTTTAGAAAAATTACAGAAAACATCTGGTAGAAAATAAATAAAATGTAAAATATTCTTATTCTAAATCTTAGAATCCCTATTTCTAGAACATTGCTCATTTCTAGTATAATTATTTTCTGGCATATACTTAGATAACACTTTTGCTGTGTTTTCACATACCCTTGCAAGTCTGTATTTTGGTCAAGATCAGAAATTCCTGGCTACTAAAAGCCATAAAATGAGCTGAGTTTTCCACCCCAAGACCATAAACATTTTTGGACCGTTCTGAGCTGTTTTGGCAAAGAGCACAAAGCATTTCAAGATCCTCACTTGTCAGCTGCCTTTTCTATTAGTTGTGAAGAAAAGTATGTTAATTTATGCTAATGTGTTTTACACACAACTGTAAGAGCACACAACCAGTAAGTGCAGACAAGTAGTGAGTGGAAACACCAAACCACAGGGACCAAGTTGCTGGTGCTGCCTAAAGCAGGAACATGGATCATGTCTGGTACAGGAGGAAGTGTCCTAATGTGCTATTGCACATATTCAGATATCCTTGTGTTATAACGTGACATCTGTCAACTATAATCTAAGATTTACTCCTCATTTGAAAAGCTTGAACAGGACTGATTTCTAATGATCCTGCTTTCATGACACAATCAGCATTAACTAGTCTTGGAAAAAAATGTCATTCTCCTCATCCAAGAGATATATTCTATTCTACAAGTCACCAAGTGATTTCAAGTAATATTAAATGTGGACTAACTTCAAGCTTCTACATGGGCTGTTTCACTGATTGCAAGCCCACATTAATTTTATTTATATTTTTTCCTTTACAAATTACACAGCCCTGATATACTGGTTTTATGAGGTACAAGAAGTTGTATACAGAATTATTTCCAACTACATTAATCAAAATTCCAGTCCTAAGTTTGGACTACAAGAGTTTAAAGATGTTTTGATAAAAAGTGATCTTGTGTATTCACTATGGTGAACCTAATTATTCTAACCCAGCAACATGAACAGCAAATTGACATTGATAATCAAATCAGGCATGTTATTGCAATCATGCTGGTACTGTTATTCAAATACAGACCTTGATTCTCAGAGACATTAGTGTGGCTTTAGAGGAAATGAGATCAACCAGCCTTGGTGTGAGATAGAATAGAATTTGCTTCTCAGTTCAAGCCACACTTCATTTCTGAAAAGATAGTCTAACAGCATTTCTTATTTCATTACTGAGTCAACGTGGAGAGTAGAATGCTTGACTGAGTATTCAAAGCATCAAAAAGAGTGAGAGGCTAAGGGAATATGTAGCTTTTAAAATCCTTTTGACTGAAATGCAGTTAAAAGCGAGAAGGTAGTCTGTTTTTCCAGGTTGTTTCTTCTCTTTTCTTAATTGCAGCTGCCAGTTCCTTTCAGAAAATGTCTCCTATAACACCACTCTAGTTGTGGATTTGTAGCTGTGGTGGCACACCAGACTGATACAGTTGGGCACACAGGCAGTGGTTTTCCTGAGCAAGTGTCAAGGATCAGGAACAGCCAGCTGCCACAATGATTCAGGAATATCTCTTCTGCTTACATCTCCCCTTTTGATTTGGGGTGGCTCACGTTTTGAGTGTCCATCTTGAGCAGGCTTGCAAGCGTCCGGATTTCAGGAACTACTGAGCCCCTGCCTGACACCAGGGAAGGGTGGGCTACGTAGGGCTGTCCTGCCTGAGGAGGTACACACAGACACGTCTACACACCAGCCTGGCTCTTTTACTAGCTGAACTGTTCTTTCCCCAGGTGGCAAAACCTCTGCTGGCTACAGCAGTCGCGGGTTCATATCCAGGGCGAAAGTGAAAGCAATCAAGTACAGCATCGTAATTATCCTTGGTAAGTGCAGAGCCCCGCAGCTGGTAGCTGGGGAGGATGCTGATGTTAGGAAGCTGGTTTTCCTCAGCTCCCTCTGTTATCAGCAGATAAAGTGGAGTAGATGGCTCAGAGAGGGAGCTCTACTTAGACCTCCTGACTTGCCTTCTGACCATGTCCTTCCCCTCTCCTCTGGCTGACAAGCTCCTACTTCAGGCGTCTGACACAAGCCTCAAATGAAATTGTATGCACAGCCCCTCGTGCATAAAGAGGGTAAAGGAGGGACATAGCCTAAAAGTAACAAAGGAAGGGGTCATCCCCTTCCCATGGAAGCTGAGAAGAGACTTGACAACTGAGTTGTCTCTTAGGCTTAGAGATTATGTATGGCATGTTAGGTGCTGGGGCAGTGCAAGGGAGAGGAAGGAGAGGCAAGGGATGCAGAGCAATTGAATTTGATGTCAGAAGCACAAGATCGAGTTCTCCTTTCCTGGCTGGGCAGCAGATGACTCAGTGCAGGTGTCTTCTGTCTCCCAGGGAGACGACATTACTCTGATGGAATTAGGAGGCTGACATTCTATCTTGATAAATAAAGGCAGCGTCACACAGGGCTTGTGATTAGCTGCCAGAGACAGGAAGGAAGGTGACCGAAGCTATTTACTCCCAAGGGCTGACAGCTGTCCCCTACCACTGAAAAAGAGGTCGCTTCTCTTTTCAACACTACACAAAATTCAGATTGGATGATATTGTGATAATAGCTATTACTGAGGTGCTTAGCTCACTGTTTAGCAGTAACATCTGCAGACATGAGAGGCCAGTGTGATTCACGTTTTTCAGAAACCCAGGAACAGCTTCTCTGTGTCTGAACTTTTCTGCGTGGCAATCAGAGAAAGCTTTTGTCAGAAACAACTACTATTGCAAAGCCATCAAATGTTAAAAGCTCACCTGGATGCTCAGTATTTCAAAGGACCTTGATGATAAGGTGTCCCTGACCACGGTGGAGGTTGGTGGGGGTGTGGAACTAGATGATCTTTAAGGTCCCTTCCAACACAAAACATTCTATGATCTCTTGATGTGCAAACAGATTAAGGCACGTAACATTCATGGATTTCTCTGAAGCCACTTGAAGTTCAGCATAGTCAGTGCTATGATCCATACGCTGACACTGTGTATTCCTATTTTGCTGGTACCTGTGCATCAACACTGCCACTTTGGTTACTCTAGAAAACAAGAGGGGAGTTTACATCTTCCTTGCACATTCAGTGAGGGCTCAGCTAACTGCCAATGAAAAAATACTGATTAACATCACAAGAAAGTAAGCACAAGGTTACTCAGCTCTCTCATTTGGGTCAGGAGGAGATCATGTGTCTGATTTCATAGGTACCTGCACATCTGCAACCCAGGTACAGCTTAATCAAGTGAACTGCCTGTCTCAGAGTTTCTATGTACATCTTGACTCAAAAGCCTTTGTGAAAGGAGATGACAGAAATTTGTGAGAAGCAGATTTATGCCCTATGCCTGCAAAGGAATCTGTGGTCTCTTTATTTCTACCACTTCTGAACAAAAGCAGGGACTAAGAAAAATGTAGCCCTCTCTTCCCTTCCCCAAATTCATCTTTCAAATTGCAGTATAGATGTTAGAGAGTTTTCCTGCACGCTCCAAGTACACAGTACCTCCAACCAGCACGCAAAATGACACGTTGGTCTGTCATAATGTGGTGTGAGAGTGTCATTTCTTGCTCCTGGGTGTCTCAGAGCCCTTTTTTAAAGGTGGCTGTGACAGGCAGTGCTGTCACTGAGCGGCACTTTGGTGGTGTGTACATTTAGATTGGCTGCTCACTCAGGGGACCATTAAAAGAGCGCTTCACTATAACTGATGATGCTTTAACTGGCTACCTATTTACCCTTTATGTGTTGTGCAGTGTTCAAAAGTGCCTCGATATGTCTAGAGGGAGCACTCTAAACACTTAGAGGAGCACACAAAATATATTTTATGGGCATTAAAATAAAAATAAAGACAAATAAAAGCACAATCTAATAACTATTCTCTTAAATAACACCCTGAATAGGGAGATTTTTTTTTTTTTGCATGAACAAATATTTATGTGTTATGATAGTCTCTCTATGTGTGTGTGATTACCTCCCTAAATAGCTAAACTACCTAATGTCAAGCTCTTCCTCTCTCTCTCTCTCTCTTCCAGCATTTGTTCTCTGTTGGAGCCCTTACTTTCTTTTTGATATCCTGGACAACTTCAACCTACTCCCTGAGACCAAAGAGCGTTTCTACGCATCTGTGATCATTCAGAACCTGCCAGCCTTGAACAGTGCCATCAACCCCCTCATCTACTGCCTCTTCAGCAACCGCCTCTGCCCCCCTTTCGAGTATCTCTCCCTTACTGTCACTCTGACTACCCCCTGAAAAGGGAGGAAAGACACAAACACAGTCCCTAAACCCACTACCTATTTTTGTCTGTTTTAATTCTGACCATTCCTTATTTTCTTTAGGGAAAGAAGAACTCAAAGGCTGGGGGGGACTTTCCGGGACAGGAGCGATGGAGGGCAGGAGATGCAGGTCCTGTCCAAACCAGAATACATCTAGCACAGACGACGCTCCACAAAGCTACGCCAGGACCTGTACTGAGGCGCACTGTGAGCGGTCAGACACTGGCTGGGAAGAGCCTGCTCCTCACTGCTGTTGAGCAGCACATGTATTTTGGATTTCTACTGCAGCTTCCACAATCGCACACTGCCGGTGCCGAACTCAGAACGAGGGGTTTGCATGCCACTGTCATGAGGGCTCACCTTGGCCCTCTCTTTTCGAGCAAGCTGTAATGTATATGTACTCTGGACAGCAAAAACCAATGTAAATGGTGTCTAGTCAGTTTTCCCTATTTTTCAGGAGTCACTAAAAGTAATCTACTCTACCGTCTAGCTTGTATAACTAATAAAGAGTATTTACAAGTAGTTACAGAGCAGGGACCCCACTTAAAATGAAAACACAGACAATTTTCCAAAGAGAATACATGACCAACACTCTATGTAATTATATTTGGGTTTCACACACAAGCACTTACGTAGTTGTAGCCGGAGAAGAGGGGACGGAAGGGCTGGATTACTGCCTCCCACCTCTCCTGGCCCCGCATCTCAGCTCACATCAGTCCTCCCAGCCACACCACCCCTGCAGCTCGTCCTCCCCTTCCTGTGCAGTATTTCCCTGCTGTCCTACATCAGCGTGTTGGTGGCAACCCCGGGTCCCTGCAGGGCTCCCACGCGACACAGCCAGACAGGCATTCATTTCTGGGTGCTACCGTATTAATGAAGCATTTGCCGGCCCCTCTCAGACCCCGTGGTGCATCACATGCACAGATCCTCACGTGCTCCTGTGACAGAGGCCCTGAGCAGTCTTTTGGGGGCCCTATGGGAACCTACCATAGTGGGGAACTTCAGCACCAGTCAATCTCATCACCCACACGGCAACATTTCCCTGGCTCATGCCCTATGTAAATCGTCCACATCACTTAAATCATGCAGGGAACCATAAACATCTTTAGACAACCTCAGAGCTGGAAAAAGACCTGAGCAAAACCATAAAACTCAAATTACATTTAGAAAAAACTATCATCTGTTGATGGTCCAGTCGTGCAAACTCATTGTAGGGTCCACAAATCACTGGCCTTGGGCAGAACTCCACTCCACAGTGCCCAAGCAGTTGGGCATCCCCTTCCCTCGGGCCATCCCCTTCCCCTTCCCCCCACCCTCGGGGCACCCTCCCGCCCCACACTGTTCTCAAGTTTAAGGAGAACTGTTCTCACACAGGTTTTGGCAGGTGGGTGGATGATACCGACTTCAACGTTCATTTTACCGCAAGGCAGCTTAAAGCGTTTGCATGATAAGACACTCTAATGAGCTGTAAGGCAAGTGTGTTTGTTTCCTCTGGGTAAAAAAAAAAAAAAAAAAAAAAAAATGCATTCTTACTTAAGTGGAGTCGGTTTAAACAGGGGTTTTTTTATTATTATGATCCTTTGCAATGAGTTTGTTCCCTGCAAAACAAGAACTGAATAAAATTTATTTATCATTACCTATATTACAAAAATCTTTTTTCCTAAGTAGGAGATACATAAAATTGTGGGGCTTTATGTTCTCAGGAAAACAAACAAGGTTTCTTTTTTCATTATTATGAAATTCTGTTATGTCTAAATTTTGGTAACAGCTTAATTAAAACCATGAATCTACACTAGCCTTTACAACAGCCACCTTGGATACACTGTACATAAGAACTAGACAACATTTTTTCCTGTGGTCATATTAAAACTTTCCCAAAAATAGACTGCTCAGTTTAAGACTCATAGCGATATAAATTTTGGTTTTTAACTCTTTCATCTGATACATATTCACTGGCCACTTACTTCTGAACAAATAATGCTGTTCATAGACTTAGTATCTGGAAATCAGATAATATTTCTGAGCAGTACTTAGATTTGAAAATTTAACACAACTCAATCCCACTAAAATTTACATATTATTCACCAGGGTCACCACATGAATTATCCCATCTATATTAACCATATGCATGAGAAAATGTAGGACTCCAGCCTTAAATGAAGTCATTACCCATTTATTTTCAAATAAATAGTCTTTTTGATTCATTCATTATTGTATTATGTACCATTTACATGTTGTCCATATCCTTTTCCCTCTGAATATAATTATGATGCTCTTCCTCATATGAGGATCTTTCAGTTTAAAAAGCCTCACATCACTTTTTTCTCCATTCTTTCCAAGTGCTTAAATATAGAAATATACAATTTATCTGATTTTCTATCCTGCTTTCTTACTGTGCAGGAGATGGCATTTTACTACCTTTTTATATTCTCCAAAAGTTTTGTTGTAAAGAAACAGAAAAAGCTGAGTTTTTCCATTACTCTAGATAACACTTGCACATCCCTCCTTTGTCTCTTGGGAGAGCAATTTAGGAAATTTCATCTGACTCCAGTAGGTTTCTTATTCCATGTCTGCAACTTGCTTTACACCTCTTGACTGTTTAGTTGCCTAATTGTGAGAGAGCTGTTATGAAAAACCCCAGGCCTGTGAGGAAAGGCAGCAAAAGTCGGTGTCAAGGTCCGAATGCCCAGAGGGAGAGTCTGAACACAAGAAGAAGAGGGCACCCAGCTGGTGTGTCCATGCCAGCCCACGAGGAGATGTGGTTTTCATCAGCTTTAACACTTCAAGATGCACCCGTGAGATCTTTCTGACATTCCCGCAGCAATCAGAAATATTTGTATGCATGACTGTTAGGACATAAAATCCTGTATGATGATAAAGTCCTGTATGATTATAGATTCCCAGGAAGCGTGAAAAATCAGATACTCATTCCTCAGAGAAGTCACATCAAACAGCATAGGACTAGGATACTTTTCAAACTAATACATTAATTCAACAGAATAGAAAATGTGTGCTTTCTGTGACAAGTTCAAATAAAATCTGAATGGGAAATCTATTTAACTTTCTCTTGGATATTTTTTGATATAATTTAAAGTTCAATTCTCTTAATTCAAATTTCCATCTGTTGCTAAAAGTATAAAGCAGTAGTTTGTCTTTCGTCTTGGTTTTTGACTTTGAAATTTCTGTCTCCTTTCTTATTTTTACTTTTAAATCATTTATGCAAGACAGCAAAATTTAACATCCAAATCACTGGGTAGGTATACTCTAATAACGGAGTGCAATATTCCACATTGTGACCATGGAAGTATAGCAAAGTAAAAGCCTACCTAGAAGCATATTGCATACCCCTGCACGCTGCTGACCAAGGGCTGAGGTACAGACATTATCAGTCAAGAAAAAAGAAAAGGTAGCCACTGCCTGGTTGTTTGTAGGTTTGAGGTGGATTTTTTTTCTTTTTAAATACCTTTCATGGAAAAATAATTAGACCTTTTAATATAATACAGGATGATTTGTCTTCCACAGAACAACAAAAAAAAATTCTTACACACCTCTAGGATTTGCAAGGCATGAATGAATGAAGGTACATACTCTACCAGTTACTTAGACATTTAAATATGAATTGTTTTAATGGGAATCAGGCAAATCATAAGCGTCATTACAGAAGTGAACTTACACAATATCTTTTTAGAATACTGGCTATTTCAAGCATCAGACCCCTACTGATAGCAGTCTCTAAGGATACATAAGCAGGAGAGGTAAAAGTGAGTCTAGTACTTATTTTAGTTCAAGCTCTGACATTTGAATCCCAGAAAGCTTTACGTCTATTCAGATTTTATATTTTCCTGACACTACAAGATGCAGGAAATCGGGAAAATCCTCTCTCTAACCACAGGCCCCTATGCAAAACACAAGAACAAATGATTCAACTGAAAAAGAACACTTTCAAAGTGACTTTGGCAAAGAATTTCTCAAGATACGAGTGCTTTGGGGTAACTCCAACCTGAGATAACTAAGAATAGCCTCTTGGCACTCTCTTTACAAGGAATACACTTGCTGGCAAGACGCCTCAAGTTCTGCGTCCCTTCAGAAAGCCCTACCTTGCTGCTTGTGCAGATTTGTTTCAGACAAGAACCCAGAAGGCATCACACTACCTGTCACTTCACCTTACCCCTCACAAGGACTGCATGTGCTCTTCAGAAATACTTGATGCGAACAGAACAACTACAAAAGAAAGAAATTGTGGAAAGCACAGCAACAAAGTATATATATGCTATGGGCACAAGTGCCTTCTTCCAGGGGAGGAATCATTCCACAGATAAAAATAAACTAGTGAAGAAGCTATGTCTCTACCTTCCAACCCAGAGCCTGGTGCTTACAGGAGCAGAGAGTTTATTCATCAACCTTGGGAAACATGACTGATTTGGGGAATAAATGCAATTTTTAGTGTAAGGTAAAATATGCTTCAATTTCTTTAGCAAACTGTAATTTATTTTACACAGCGTTCAATTTAGATAAGCATTATAGCTGAATGGTTCATTAGATAATCTTTTGTCATGTTTGATGGCATCTTATCCAGAGTACACATAAAATATGGGGGTAGAGGGTTAGGCATACAAAGACAGGCATGTATTTACAAATAGACATCACTGATTCCTCAGACTGAGTTGGTTACAGTGGTACATAATTAGAAGCTAAACTGTTAATTTAGACTCAAGCGAGGCAAATTAAAATGGGCTAAAATTCAGCAGCTTTAATAAATTCAGTAAAAGTGAACAGAGTCTGAAGCGTCACATAGAAAGAACTGGATGATCTTCAGAACCCGAACAGCAGAAATGTGGTGAAATGTACCACACTGTGTGCTAATAATCAATTACATCAATTAGGAGAAATTCTGTTATAAATTGGGAGCTCGTCAGCTGAAAATATCTGAAGAGAAGAAAGCCTTGAGTGTGTTCATCAGCCAGATGATGCCTAGTTACCAACAACAACGCAGCCCCTGGGGTCAGGGGACTAATATGATCCCAGCATGTATCTGGTGAAACATTTTTCAGAAGAGCTAAGGCTGCGTTAGTGTCATTGTTGCCCTTGTTGAGATTACTCTGTGCAAAACAAGAGAAAGAAAGAACACAGAAAAGAACAACCTGAGATTTCAGTTTGTTGGAGCTGGTAAAACAGAAAGCTGAAAAGGGGTATTTCTGATATCCATTAATACAAGGATGTCAATGGGAAAAGGAGGGAGACAACTACTTAAAACAAAACACATGATAAATCTGCCACAAACCCTGTCCCTGGAATAATCTCACTGTTGTCCTGGGTTGAG